AAAGAAAGAAAGAAAGAAAGAAAGAAAGAAAGAAAGAAAGAAAGAAAGGGGAAGAGAAAGGAAACATGACAGCTCCTAGGTATAGTGGAGGAGAAAGTTTAGTATAAACATGTGGGAGAGCACAGAGGCAGGGACATCTGGGAGAGTCCACAGTGGATATGACCTGAGCTGAGCCATGTAGGGAGAAGGGGAGGGGAAAGATGGGAATGAGGTGCAGCAGCCAGGAGGCCAAAAGAGAGTGAGTAGCCAAAATGGCTGGGTTATATATGAAAGAGCAGCCCAGCCCCCCTGGGCTAGAGAGTTCACAGTAGTGGGTAGAGTATGCAAGCCAGAAAGGCCATGTAACAGGTAGGGGCTGAGAGACTGCTGGGAGAACCTGGAGGCCAGGTCCACTTTGATATGTTAATTAGGCACCTCAGCCATTCGTCCCAGGTTTGAAACCTAATATTCTGGAGGCAGAGGCTGGTAGATCTCTGAGTAGGAGACCAGCCTTGTCTACAGAGTTCCAGGGCAGCCAGGGCTACACAGAGAAACCTTGTCTCCAAAAAAATCAAATAATAAAAAAAGAAAAATCTCTTAGCCAGATGTGATGGAGCACATCTGTAATCCCAGCACTCTGGGAGTCAGAGGCAGGCAGAACTCTGTGAGTTCAAGGCCAGCATGGTCTACAAAGTGAGTCCAGGGCAGCCAATGCTACACAGAGAAACCCTCTTCCAAAAATGTCCTGAACTTGCTCTGTAGACCAGGCTGGCCTTAAACTCACAGAGGTGCACCTGCCTCTGCCTCTCAGGGTGCTAGAATTACAGGTGTGCACCAAGATGCCCGCCCTTTACTAAATTTCTTATGCGTATTTTGAATTGCTTTCCCTAATCAACTTGATCATGTATACTTATTTTCAGAGGCATTATTGAGAGTTTTTGTTGTTTTATTTTGTTTTTAGAAACAGAGTTTCTCTGTGTAGCCTTGGCTGTCCTGGACTCACTTTGTAGACCAGCCTGCCCTTGAACTCACAGAGATCCACCTGCCTCTGCCTCCCCAAGTGCTGGTATTTCAGGCTTGCACCACCAAGCTTGACTGTTTTGAGCTTTTTGAAAAACAACAACATACATTTGAATTCTTTATCATTCACTTTGGTATCTCTGGAATCTGTTACTCTGGAGTTATGAAGTTTATGAAGTATCATGTTTCTTACTCTTTCATATTTATTGTGTTTTTATGTTGATACACATCTGTGGAGATGACTGCTTTCCCACATCCATGTGAAGGGGCTCCTCTCACTGATGCCTCTTAAGGTATGTCTGATCTCTCTGTGGCTTCTTCAGTTGGGATCAATGCATTTTAACATGATGCACGTTGTATTAAAAGCTGCATTCTCTGCATGCCTTGCAAGAGTATTGTGTGGCGGCTCAAGTAGGTGTGGGTAGGCAGCAGAGCATGTGTGTTCCTTAGTGGTCACAAAGGAGTGGAGCTGGGCATTTCCGGTCTCCACAACTCAAAGGCAGTTCTGATACTGGCTGCTCAAGAGGTAGTGAAGGGCTCCCAGCCTGCACTTCTCTGCTTAGATAGAGGTGCAGGCTCAGATGTGTCACGGGAGCTAATGCAGACCAGGAGCACAGATCCCTCTTTGGCACTCATGCCCAGCCTTCTCATCAACACCTGATCTGAGAAGGCACGGGTAAACCATTGCTGAGGACGAGCTGTGGTGTCCACGGCAGGTGTGTTACTTCTCACTGCTGTTACTGTAGAAACAATGGATTGCCCAGCAGTAGGCTGCCAGATGAGTATGACCCCTACCCTACTCCAGGCCCAGGCTGCACAGACTTGAGTCTAGACCATCAGACATATGCTGTGTGGCATTCTGGTCAACAATGGATCACGTGTGCAAATGTAGTTGCAGAAGCTTACATGTCACCAATGACACATAGTTAGAGGACCCACAACGACAGGATGCCCTATGTTGCAATTTTCAGAAAATAACGGTCAGTGAGCCAGGCATAACTGCAATTACTAAGGGTGTCATTGGGATGAGTCCAAATCCAGTGTAACGGCTGCTTTCAGGAAACAGAGAGATTTATACATAGAGACAGACACACAGGCGACACCAAGGGAACATGAAGGCGGAGACCTGCAAACAGGCTAGCCTGTAAGATTACCAGCAGACTACCAGAAGCCTGGAAAGAGGCATGAAAGAATCAATCCTGTGGGTACTTGGACCTCAGACTTTAAGCCCTTAAAACCGAGATCATAAATCCCTGTGATTGAAGCCATTCAGTCGGTAATACCTTTTGAGAGCAGCTCTACCAAGCCTTTCAGCATTCACCAGGGCTGGGGTGTCTCTCCAACACTGTTGAAGGCATCAGCTGGTAAATCAAAACAAGGAAGACAGAAGGTGAAACAGTAAATGCTGTGGTCTCGGCCCCGGAGCTTGCAGTCTGGAGCTATAGCACGTCTTCATGGAGGAAGAAGGCCAGAGGAGAGATGCAAACACTGTGAACTCTGCCCGACCTCCAAGGGTTTCTTCATGAGAGAGTAACTTCTCCGGATTTA